TATTATTATTATTATTATTATTATTATTCTCTTTTTACTATAATTATTTCATTCTTTGATCATTGAATAAAATAACCTGCTATTTTATCCTACATACTATATACGAATATAAGAACGTTTAGAAACGATCTATTTGAGTTGGACACGAGATAAAGTTTTCAAAACAGAAATAATAAATTAACATGTAGGCTGTAATTTGTTATTTTAAATCGTTACTTTTTCACCGAATGTTATATATTACACGTTATAGATCACATTCTTGATCGTGAAGATTACACGTTATAGATCACATTCTTATTTTATTTCCAGATGATTTGGTGTACATGGAGGACGAACAGCTCTTGGACGAGTACATTTTGAACGATGTTGGGAAAATATGGGTCGGTTCATGGGGAAGTGCACGCGGCAGAGAATGGGTGTTCGGTCAGTTCGATGCCTGCGTGTTGAAAGCTTGTCAGTTGTTACTAGAAAGATCCGGCATCAAAGCTAATTCCAGAGGGGACCCAGTCCAGATGTGCAGAGCTATTTCGAGAATTGTAAGTTCAATTTCTCTTCAATCGCTCGTAGAAGTAAACTTCAAATGTGAATATACGTAAAGTATTTTGCTGAAAACAAAAAGACCTTGATTAACTAACGTAACTGACAGATAAACAATCCGGTTAAATCCTAGACACTGAGAGAAATAACTGAAACCATTCTTTATGTGCAAAACAAGATTTTATTCCTAGATTCTTTTCCATTAGTTTTCCTCTTGCAAGTCATCTCTACGTCTTAAATATTCATTAATAAGGATTACTGACAGCGAAATATTGAGGAAAGAACTTCCCAGGAATAGAAAGGATCATTTCTGGAAGGATTTTCATTTTCTTTGGGTTACGTAGCAATAAATAATCGAGAGATAATCACAGATTTTTCGAGAAATCGAAACTACTAACTTCGCAGAAACGTATGATCTAAACTGATCCAACAATCTACAGTCTGAACGCCAACTTTACAAATTTCGAAGAATCTGAAATCGGTGCGATGCTATCTATGCATGCCTAGTAGGAGTAAA